CCTCTAATGCCTTGTATAAGGCAAGAGCCTTCATATGCGCGTAAAATACTAGAACGTCGTTTGAATTTTTTTACTGGTTATTACTATACTTAAAAAAATGCGCTTTTTGTTGGCTGAAAACAAGTGCATTTTTCATGTAACACGTGTGCAAAACTTAAAACAAGAGCAAATTACAAAATGCGCGCGTGTGTTACCAAAATTTCGTCTGTTTTGACTTTTTATGATGCTTTTTTTCAATGTAAATTGTAGAAAATCTCTTTCGCTTTTAAGTTTCAAGTAACAATTTTTCTCTTCCTCTCCCCCCTTCGTATCCTTTTGGTATGCACGCGCGGCACGCTTGATTTCACAAATTAGCCAATCACGTCAGAGAACCCTTACCTTGACATTGAAAAACAGACATGGACATTTTTTCGCGTACTTTTCGTTTGTTTTCGCGGAATCTTAGTATTTGCATGTTTTTTAGCTTTCGTTCGCGTAAATTTGTTCCTCCTTTGTTTAGAATTTTAAGAAGTTTAGGAGTTTTTATTTCAGCCAAATGTTGTGGTTCATTCAACAAGTTTAGTACATATTTTCTACAAAGTTTGGACTCTAGCCTTTTTTTTTCCGTAAATGGATTTATTTCACATACATTAATTAATGGGTGATTACATGATTTCTAGTTTAATTTGGTGTAAATAAGCACCTGTCAATTCTTTAAAGTCTACAAATTGTTCTAACCCAATGGACTCGTGTAGTTTTATTGTCTTTGAAAAATTTACTCGTGGTTTTTTACACCATATTGCAATCGTAATCATGTTATTGCCTGTATTTACATTAGGCCACGAACACAATGTCATGTAGGAAAGTTCTCAACGAAAGAGTTAACTTGAAGTTTGATAGAAACTAATTCAGCTGTTCACACCTCCTGAGTCATTTCGCTCAGAACTTCAAGACTTTGAATTTTGCACCGAGATCAAACGATTTGTCATGAAAGCTCTGGAGGAATTTTGTTACGATATTTCTAAATGTTATCCCAAAAAGGATGAATTTTACAGCTGGTATGTGTTGCTTTGTGTACCGATCTTGGAGTTGGTTTAGTTGTGCAGCAGTTGTACATATCTGTGATCGTTGAGATACTCTTGAAAGATTCTGTTTCGTCTAACGATTCTGAGTGTAATACCAAAATTGCTTTCCTCGTCTTGGGAACGTTTCTAACCAGTGCCTCATTCTTCATTGTTTCAGCGACCAGTTTTGATCGCTTCCTCGCTTTTACACTCTATTTCTTCATTTCTTCATTTCTTATAATAAACACCCTTTACTGAGTCCCAAAGGCTGTTTGTATCGCCTTCACCTGTCGAAAACAGAAAAAGAAATCTGTAAAATTTAACTTGATGAGATAAAATTCTCTAATTACTATAATTTCTCTGCATTAATCACAAAAAGCACCATTTACCTTAGAAAGTTTGTTCTTTGGAGAAAGCTTTGAGGTTGTGTTTTTGGACCGAGCAGATTCATGCTGCATATTTTTAATGAGTGCTACTACATTTGCAACCAAGGAGACGGGTTACATACCACAAGCAATCTTACTTTTAAATTCCCAAAGGTACAAATGAACCTCTCTTTTTGCTGGTGCTTTGTATTGTTCTGGGATTCCGCCTTTGAGGATACTTTCTTCAGTTTTACGGCAATTCGTACACCATATCGTCCCTGGCCGATAACAATGTGAAGTTTCTCTGCTAAGTCCAGTTACCGCTTGATAAAGTGAAAGTCGTTCCGTTAGGTGGAGAAGTGAATACGAATGAGTTGTTTGGGGTGTCACATGGAGGAGAGTGCATCGATTGTCAAATTTATCAACTTCGTTTCGATGACGAAGGCAAATTATTGGACCTTTCTCCAATCCTGCAGCTCACGCCCGTCCGCCGCCTTCTACATTTAACATGGACCTTCCTCTATCAGAGATGTCTTTTGTGGCTCTGATTTTTCCTTTTCTTTTTTTTTTTGCATATCGCTTTAGGTGTTTACCGGCAACTCCATTACTAACATAACGAAGAACGGCTACAGCTAACTTGGTCAAGCTTAAGGGTGACTTCATCATGCCGAAAAAAAAATGTAAGAAAAAGTACGGAAGTTTAAACTAACACAATGTAGGAAAACTCTAGAACAAGAACTTCTGTAAGTTTTA